GAATAAAAAAAAATTTCAAAACATCAAATTTTTAAAGAAAAAACATACTCGCGGCTTATACACGTATCAGAAATATATCGGATAATTGAAATTACTATACAACAAAAACCAGTATTCAGTACAATTGGCTTTGGTTTGTACTTCTGAGAGGCTGTAGGTTGAACGCTCTCTTTGTGAACGAATAAAAACACTTTCAAAAAACGTCACATACAGTCATTCTTATACCAATCATCCCTGATTGATTCATTCAGTCTTGTTTTAATTGTATAAAAATGTTTAGATTACCCAGGGGAGGAGTAGATTGAATGTACTTATTAAAGTGAAAATGCATTCACTTATTAAGGGTGGATAAATTTTAAGATTAACTGTACATTAAACGTGATATACAGTTTGCTATATGTGCTATAATTACACGAAATTTGAAACTGAGATATGTTTTATGTGAAAAAGTGTTCCGAAATTAGAATGTATATTTCTTTTGTAAATACGTATTTTGTTTGCTCGTCAAATGCTTGTATTCACGTTTTAAAGTTCATAAAAATTCTGGATAAAATAAACTTCTATAGTATTCAAATTCATTTAAGTTCGATATCTTTTTACATTAGCTATCAAAAATAAAGGACAATTTATGTTTATGAACCAAAGAGCACTCGAAATGTTTATAAGTCCCGATTGTGTATTTCAAACTTTGACAAAAAAATTAATAACATTAAAAGCATATTTCACAAAATATTTTTCTTCGTTTCTATCTATTAGTTTTTCTTTCTTTTTTTAATTACAGTTGCCAAGTTTTCATATTCATTACAATAGATTTGTCGTGACATATAACCTCCCCTAAGACTATAATCTCCCCGTCTACCGTTAACTGTTTCTGGACATGTAAGTGGATTAGAGAATTCAAGAAGACATCATTACAAATCACTATATTTATTGATAGGAAAGTTTACAAAACGTAACGATTTAAATTTAAGAACAATAAAACACAGTGGAGTAATGAGAAAGGGGTTACTACTAGCGGAACTACGGAAACGGAACTGAATCCACGAAAAGATCAGTACGTACAATTACAGCTAACACATGTACACGTATTCACAAATTTCTAAATCACTAACCTTTATTCTCGTAACTTCCGGCAGGTCCGTCGTGGTGCAGAAACTTATTGCTGGCTGGATCGGATAATGGCTAAGGATCCACACTCGACTCTCCAATTTCAATCTTCAAGCTCTTCAGCTTAGCTCGTCGCGTCACTACCAACTAAATAATGTCAACAACTGCGTGTTGATTTGGCCGATGCTTCAATTCATTTTACTTCAAAAATCTAACTCTTCACTTTACTACTCTCTCCTTCACTACATTTTAACTCGCGGAACCCGAACTTATATAATATTTCTCATTTGCATAAATCACGCTTTGGCTCCCGGTGGAGATTGGTTGAAATAAATAAAACTTTTAAGAAAAATAGAAACTGTTAGTTTAAGACCGTATAGATCCGTCACAGATTGATTAAATTTGTTACACATTACGAATGAATAATTTATCCAAAACCTTGTTAGCAACCAAGTCTTTCATTAGTAATTAATAAAGTTTATTTGCAATGCCTTCGAAAGCCTATTTTTTTTAAATGAACAAAATTGATTCTACAGATGTCCAGTTTCAAATACTTTTCAGCTATCACTTAAGATAGTAGGACATTTCATCTTATTTCACTGATAAAAGATACATATACATCGGATCATCACGCATTCTTAGAAGTTTTTTTTTTCTTTTGTCAGACATTCTGAATGAGTTTCGAATCTTTCTGATAAGCCGAATACCCCCTTCTAAAGTAAAAGATAAGAAAATGAGATGCATACACTCCCTAACCCCTAGTATGACTGAAAAAAGAAAATGTTTCTGTTTCAAAGGGAAAAAATCAATACGGATTCTTCTCAAGAAACTATGCACGCTTAAAGCTGACTTATACGATTGCAGGATTCACGTATATTAATGGATAACTAAGGATATTCGTTGAGGAGAAATGAGAAAGAGAGTAGGAAAAAAAAGACTTTCACTATAAATTTAGAACTAACAAGGAAGTGCATGAAAGTCATTCAAGAGTAGAAAAAGGAATTAGAGAAATTGAATCAGGAGGGAAATAGAGAATGATATATCTGGGGATTTTTCGAATAGGGGAAGTTTTCACTGTTAAAAAAGTTTCTAATATTTAACTCGGCGTTTCTCAAACTGTGGGGCACTCCCCCGAGGGAGGCGTGATAACCCTTAAGTGTGGGGGCGCCGAGCCATTTGAAAAGTCGTAAGCAAAAGATTATTTAAAACAAGTAATATAAAATAAAATTAAATCAATTCCTACTTAGGTCAACAAAGAACAATTTATTTTAGCTACTTTTTATTAAATAGTTACAATTAATGCAAATTTGCATATACATATAAACGAATCACAATATTAAGTGACAAAATACAAAGCGATTTTCCTTGCAATTTTCCATTTTCCTTTCTGTTGTTGTTGTTGTTTCTAATTCCTCAGAGATCTAGCGGCAGCTAGATCAGATCCATGGTATCGTGAACTCTAGCGAAGTCAAGCACCAGTAGAGAACTTTCATAAAGATCCGCTAGAGCGGACCCCAAGCAATCCAGGATCTGATCGGGGGATGCCGGCTTCAGATTGCATTTTTTGCACAATGAAAAGACTGCGTCCTGAGTCAAATGTCATGTTTTTTAGATGTCCACTTATGAGTCTTGAGATGGCCGTTTGATCATTTCTGTCACCTCCGAATTCTAACGCTCCCCCCCCGGGGGGTATTTTCCTTTCTAATTAAAATATATTTTTTCTAATAAAATAGTATAGTTAAAAGAAATCGCATTCTCAGAAATTAGGCCTTCCCAGGTGGAATTTTGAACCCACGAACTTTTGGATTAAAAGTCCAAGGCGCTATCCATTGCTCTACAGGGACGCAACGAACGATTTTCCTGTCTTTTTCTGCTGTTGGGTATTATTTGTATTTATTACTATTTATTTAAATTTTTAATTCAATTAAGGTATAAATGTTTGAAAAAAACTGTACTAACACCAAGTGTCACATCTACTACAAGTATAAAAAAATGTATTTGAACTTGAATGAATGAATAGAATGTATTTTATTAGCGATTGAAAATTTGAACACGATATATATATATATATATATATAGTGAGAGAGTGAACTGTATATAATGGTAGTGATTGAAAAAAATAATAATTTACTGAAAGGAAGCAAACAAAATGCATTCTATAATAATAATAAATTACAGTTTAAACAAAAACTAAAATAACCAATTTTATAGTTTATCGAACTAAGTTGTAACTTAATCTCTTAGCCCCCAAATCTGGAATTAGTCGCCAGTGCGGGATGGGATCTGAAAATGGGAAATCGTTAGTCCTAATGATCCTGATCAGGACAATGAACAAAATTAGAAAATTATTGTATTGTCATCGGTTCTGCACAAATGAGCAAAATTTCAAATTAATCTGACCTTTTAAATTGGGTGAGTACAAAGACTCCATTACATACAAGTAAAGCTTATAAAAGGATGTTAAAAAATAAAATATACATTTACACTAATATAATACATTTATGTATGTATCAGTACGGTACAATGTATTTGGTATTAATTTAACGATACTAAGCTAAGAACAAATTCAATAATTACCAGTATGGCCATTAATAATAAAATTATATACAAACTGAATATTTATCTTGATAATTTGTACGGTTTATAATTAAAGTTATATTGTAGCTGTAGTGTCAAATTATATTAATGAATTTAGTACATTGTTATTGTATGGGAGTGGAGAGGATGAACATTATGATTAAAAATTGAGTCGCAAACATTGAAAGTTTGAGAAGCACTGATTTAATTAAATGAAAAAAAGAAACTGAAATGTAGAAATGTAAAAAAGAAACATTTAAATAAGCGAAGAATTATTGCAAAATTGTATTTAAAATTTTGGTATAATTTTTTGCTGTATTTGAATACATCATTCATATAACACATCACTCAATAAGTCCCGGGCCTAACATATAGATGGTACTACCTTCTAACTTTTCTAAGCCTAACCTAGTAGTACTAACTTTCAAACGGCATGTATCAAAATTTCGAGGTAATATATTGTTTAGTTATAAAGTTACAGTGGCTTTTTGTGGTAGGTAACAGTGGCAACTACTTGAAAACTTTAGATGAAAAAGAATTTCGTGTGCTAATTAAACATTATTTTCTGATGGGTAAAAAGACTGTTACAGCAAAAATATCGCCTGATAAATGTTATCCGGACTCTGCTCTATCGCAAGAAACTGTTAAGAGATGGTATACTGACTTAAAACATGGTCGTACAGACACAAACGACGTTAAACTTTTAAGTCGGCCAATTTCTGCAGTTGTTCCAGAAAACATCAAAAAAGTCCATGAAATCTGTTTAGTTGATCGTAAATTGGAGTTGCATGAGGTAGAGAATTTAAACGTATCAGAAGGCAGTGTATTTGCTATTTTGCATGATCATTTGTCAATGAGAAAGTTATGTTCAAAGTGGGCGCCGCGCGCGCGCGTTTGCTCACTGTCGATCAAAAACAACAACACATCGACGATTCAGAACGTTGTCTGGAACTGTTTAAGCAAAATAAACAGGATTTTTTTCATAGATATGTGGCAATGGATGAAACATGGATCCATTACTACACGCCTGAATCCAAAAGATCGTCAGCTGAGTGGACAGCAGCCAGTGAAAGGCGTCCAAAGCGACCAAAAACTCAAACGTCAGCTATCAAGGTTATGGCGTCCGTATTTTGGGATGCTTATTTGATTTTGTTATTGACTACCTTCAGAAAGTCAAAACATTTACTAGTGAATATTACATGGCGTTATTCGATCAAATGAATGAAAAAATAAAGAAAAAGCGTCCTAAAATGCAAAATAAAAAATACTGTTTCACCAAGACAATGCTCCGTGCCACAAGTCCATGAAAACGGTGATCAAATTGAACGAATTGAGCTTAGAATCACTTTCCTACCCACCATACAGTCTAGATCTAGCCCCCAGTAACTACTGGCTGTCTACAGATCTTAAAAGAATGCTACAGGGAAAGAGGTTTTGTTCAAATTAAGAAGAGATTTTGCTGAAGTAGAATCCTATATTGAGAGCAAAGACAAATCATTCTACGAAAACAAGAACTAAAAAATTAAAAGAGCGCTGGGGTGCATGTATCACTCTTGAAGGGGATATCTTGATGTTTAAAGTTCAGTTTTGCAGAAAAATTGTTGTTTTATTAATTAGACAGAGGACTTATTGAGTGATGTGTTATACGCACAAGTTTTTACGTACCTTATCTCTCTGTGTATGAAGGAAAAAAGAACTGTTCACTCACTCCTCACAAGATATCCAGATGCTCAGATCTACAGTTTGAAATTTGGCAGGCATGGACCTTTTAAAAAGTAGAGATTCGCTAAAAGCCGGTTTTTTGCTGAAATCAATTTCCAAGGGGGCAGTGCGAGTTTAAAAGATGTTATACACATAAAAACTCCCATTTTTTAAAAACAGGTGTCAGAATTGAAATTTATTAAGTATGTTTATTTTGGTAATTAGTGATTCGCAAAGAAGGTGCTTGGAGTAATCGACTCTCAAGGGCATTAATAATTATTATGAATGAATTATTACCAATGACCACGATTATGTCATATATATATACATACATATATATGACATATAATCGTGGTAATTGGTAATAATTACTGTAACGATGATCATCATTTAGATGGCTGATGTCCTATGGAATTATTATTGATGTTGCTTTGATGTTATTGACGAAGCAGTCTCCTTGAATGGTAATCTCGTTTGTTGTTAATTAACACGTAGAAACATAGAAATGAACGACACAACAATGACACATAAGCCAAAACGGGCTGCAACTGCATAACGAAGACAGAGACAAAAAGGGGGGATTTTCCAGAATCTCGGTTCTTATACGAAGCGGCCAACGAAATTACAACTCACATGACCTCCGTGGACGGATCTTGTTAATTGGTGGAAGGATGTTGTTGAATGGATTCCCGTTTTGAAGTTAACTAGTAATTATTTACAAAGGAATCCTGAAGGCTAGGACCTTTATAAATTAAGAAATTGTTTAGAGAAATTAAAGAGAATTTTTTCATACACTCATATATATTTATATATATATTACAAAAATTTACAAAAAATAGTTATATACCTAAGATAACTATAATCATGATAGAATAGATTTAGCCACAGAAATACTAGAGCAAACTCCTAGCCTTAGGAACCAGGAATGCAGGTTTAAACAATATTTTTCGGCCAGCCAAAATTCACCTGAATTTGCCAATACTCTGGGCCATAGGGAAAGCAAGAAATTGTTTAGAGAATGTTAACTATCATTATAGATAAAACCATAATCTTTTAATGTAAAACTATAATATTATAGCCTATAATAATTACTAAAATATTTAAAATGAAAGTTAAACTATTAGGTAAAGACTTACCACGTGAGTCATTCCCCGGCTATGTACAGTAACAGTATCGTATAAAATTATTAAGTTTTGAAAAAATAGCTTTAATACTATGTATACACATTTAAAAACTCTATATTTTATTTTAAAATGTATAGAAAATAAAAGTACAACCATGACATACACAATTAATTTTTAAGAAAATATAATATTGTTCATTTATGTAGCTTGAGGTGCCATCTATCGATAAAGTGTACAACTAATAACATATTTTTATTTAACTGTTAGGTAACCTTTTATAAATTTTGGAGGGTATCCGTGTTCCATACAATGTTTAATAAAGTTATTAAGATTTAAATGTATATTAAATTTATTACTAACTAATACGTTATTACGATAAATATAAGTAAAAATAATATTTCTATAATTTGATATATGTTGGAATTCCAGTAAGGCACATTAAGAATGTTAAAATTAAAATCATACCTTTTATCATAAATATTGCTATGTAATTTATAGTCCTTAATACACAATGATACATCCAAGTAATTAGTTTTAACTGGATTACTATTAATTTTAATTAGCTTTAAATATTCCGGATAAAAATTAATAATGGGGTTAAAATTATAATTTTTACCAAAATAACTAGGCCATCTATGTATCTAAATATGTAATAATCATTATTAATAATATCATTATTTTCGTAAAAGTGTAAATATAAATTAGCCAAACTATTGCTAGCAGGGCCACCTTGAGGCAAACCTTTGGTTTGTTTGTGCAGAGAACCATTAAAATTAATGTAGTTTTCTCTTAAGACTAAATTTATTAGAGTTCTAAATTTTTGTAAATTAATATTAAGGTTATAATTTCTATGATTATTTAAAATTATCCTAATTATATCATTGATATTAATGGAATTAAAAAGATCTTCAAAGTCATAACTATAAACTGAATAAATATTTTTATTTTTAAAAAAATTTACAATTTCTTTACTATTTTTAATTATAACTTTATTACATTGCTTATTGATAAATTCTTGCATAATATTATGCAGCATTTTAACTGCAGCAGTGATATAAGTTTTAAAACCATTTGTTACTGCTCTAAGTTTAACAGGATTTTTATGAAATTTAGGTGTTAAAAATATATATGGAAACTTAATCTTATGAATGGAAACACCCAATTTTCTATATATAGCAGTAATTCGATTAGTAATTTCTTTATCTGACAAGTCCAATTTTTTAAAAGATTCATTGTTTAAAAAGTGTTCATCAATCATATTATTATAAAAATATTTACAAATTATAGCTAATTACCAGGCACTTTATCTATGTAAACAATGATAAAATTCTTTCGTAAATCATAAATTTTCTGTTTTACATCTTTATAAGTAAGTACTGATTTAGAACGATAGTTAAATTTCATCAGGTCTTTTAAAATATTGTACTTAAATTCATCAAATG